GGCCGTGCCGGCAGGGCACAGCGAGGTTGCATTCTTGTTGGTACACTCGTTGCCAGCTGGGCAGATCTTGCATGATGTCTGTCCCGTTTGATCTTGATAGTAGCCGCTCTCACACGCCGTCGGGACCGTGTTGGTGGCCGTACACATGTATCCCACAGGGCAGCTACTGCATGTGCTCGAGCCGCTCAAGGCATAGGTGCCCGACGAGCACGCAAGAGGCTCTGATGTCTCTGCCTCAGAGCAGCGAAAGCCCGCAGGACAGGCCAGGCAGGTGACCAAGCCCTCTGTACTATATTCGCCCAAAGCACACTCGACGGGCAGCACCGAGGGGTCAGCACAGCTGGAACCAGCCGGGCAGACGGTACATTCTGAAGCGCCCGCCGTGTCGGCGTAGTACCCAGCTGCACAGCTCGTGCACCCCGCCTGGCCAGCCGCACTGGCCGTGCCGGCAGGGCAAGGCTCGACAAGGCTGGGGTCCAAGCATGACGATCCAGCCGGGCAAGTCTATGGGAAACATGATTGAGATGAGGCTTTGTCAATGTTTGCCTTCTAGCTGGCTGGTGCGGTTGGAACTGGGGGGGTGCAAGGGGGGTTGCGTACAAGACAGCTGCTCATCCCGGTCTCGTTTTGATATGAACCGGCGGTGCATGAGGTACAAGCGGCAGCGGCACCAAGACTTGTACTGCCAGCAGGGCAAGGCTGGATCGAGCGAAAACCGGTCAAGGCTGTGAGGCACAAGAAAAAAAAATCGCGCAAAGGAGAGGCGCGAGTCAGGGTGAGCGAGCCGACTTGGATCACGAACCAGACAATCCTCAATGTTGGTAGAGCTGGTGAGCAGGTTGTAAGTGCCCTCTGGGCATGGCGTAAGAGCAAAGGTGTCATCGGGACAACTGTGGGAGGAGGATGCGGGAGAGGGGCAGGTCAAGCGGGTGAGACCAGAAGAAAGAACAGTCGCTAGCTGGGGGGCGGCGTCTGAGTCGGAGTCGGATGCAGCATGAAGGCAGGCGAAACGCACTAGTAGCCAGAGGGACAAGGTGCACAAAGTTCAGTGTCGATGGCAAAATACTGGCCAGAGGTGCAGTTTGAGACGGTACAGCCGGTGTTGGCATTGACCGTCTGGGTCAGAAGATGAAGCACAAGGACCAAGGCCAGCAGGGGCCACGAGGCAGCTGGCGTCAGATGGCGCCATCGCCGGCGGCCCATGGCCGGCGCCGGCATTGGAATTGGTGGTGATGTCTGATCGATTCCGCGTCAGAATCTGGTTCTTGCTCCTGGGGGGGCCTGCGAAAGGGAAGGCGTGCGCGCACTTGCAGGCGCTCTGAGGGAAGCAACCAAGGCCCTCCCCAGCCCAGTCCTTTGGGAGAGTGCGGCGTCGAAAAATTGTGAGCGTCAGCGACAAAACCCACGAGTGTGTGTGTCCGTCTGTGTCTGTGTCTGTGTGTGCTGGTGTGTGTTGATGAGCGGGAGGGGAGTACCAGGGAGCGTCAAACAGCCAAAGGCGAGCACGGTCGCCGACCGAATGAAACCGAGAAACGAACGCGATATGACGGCCGAAAGGACTCGGAAAGCCCAAGGGAGAGAGAGAGAAAGAGAGAGAGGAAGAGCCAAAAGCAGCGGGGGGTTGCAACAGAGCAAGACGAGGAAGAAGCCTCGAGCTAGGGAGGCAAATACAGCACACAACACACGGCACACAGCACACGGCACACGGCACACACGGCACACACGGCACACACGGCACACACACGGCACACACGGCACACACACGGCACAGCTCAGAGCGCCGGCGTCGTCGTCGGTCGAGAGTACCTCGAGGTCGTTGAAGAGAGAGAGAGAGAGAGAGGATTGAAATGGGGGGAGAGGGGGAGAGAGGGAGGCGTGATGGGATGGAGGGTGTAGAGAGAGGGGATGAAGGGGGCTGGTGATTGAGAGGTGTGATTGGACTTGCGATGGGTTTAGCTTGGGATAAGAAGCGGAAATAGAGAGAGGAAGAGGATGTTGTTTGATGAGTAGAGACATTGGCGTGGATGCTATGACCTGCTAGAGAATCATCAAGTTTGAGCATGTATAGCAGAGGCAGAGAAGTTGAAGCGTGAAGCGTTCAACCGTCACACACACAAAAGCGTTGTCAACGGGAGATGGAGGTCCTTCACTGAAAAGAGATGAGCCGGTTGGGTGGTGATACACCCAGAGAGTTTATTAGATTGAGAATTGTTGATCAAGTAAATCAAAGCTAAATTCAGAGATCCAGGCAAACGATGATCAACATTTAGAGATGAATGTAGGGGTGTGTTTGAGCTGACAACCTACCAAATTCAGAATCGAGTCGGTACACTGTCCCGACACAGGACATAACAGTTCCCCCCAAACCTCCGCACAGATGACTGAGCGCCTCCCAAGATCTTACCACACATCTTCCACAACCAATCGAGGAGCTCCCAATCGAGCCATGCCAACCACAACAGCTGTTGTGCATGTGCCTCTTTCGTCTGACATTACCTCTCTCTCTCTTTTTCTTTACCATCCTCGAAAATTAATTTTCCCCTCTCCGATTCAGCATTTGCACTTGTCGTTACGATCAAAGGCTCTTCGTTAACGGCAGCTTAAAGGGCAGGAGGCGAGACGGCTGATGGTGGTGCAACGCACAGTTGCACCAGTCCAACTTGTTGGCTTTGGAGGGGTCTCATGAGATTATTGGTGACAGGTTTTGAACCCGTCATGATGAGTTCGGCTGATGGTGTGCAGCTGTATCATGCGTGTGGTGCATCCGATCTCCAAGAGGCGTTGCAGCTGTTGGACAGTTGGGACCCACAACGCATTCGATCCGCTACCATTTACAAAAGCGATGTTCGTATGCTATGAAGTGCCTCTTGATCCGTTATGATGGTGTTATGACATGGACCACACATGATGCCGCTGCTGCTCCGGTGATGATGGTGCAGGATGGCGCTACACCACTGCACTTTGCCTGCAGTAACGGTCATGTGGAGTTGGCGGAAATGCTGTTGCAGCACGGCGCTGATGCCGAAGCCAAGAACGACGTCAGTATTTGCTCTTGGCTGTTGATACGCCTTGCCCTCGCTCTCCCTCTTCTGAGACACCAAGTGTAATACTTCGAGCTAACACAGGATGATGCTCAAGCTATACCTGTATGTGATGATGATGGTGGTGGTGGTGTCTCAACCCACAGACTGGTTTCGCACCACTGCACTGGGCCTGCAGTAGCGGTCATGTGGAGGTGGTGGAGACGCTGTTGAAGCACAATGCCGATGCTGAAGTCAAGAACGACGTCAGTACCGCCCTCCGTCTGGCTCGGCTGGGCTGTTGATTCGCCTTACCCTCGCTCTTCCTCTTCTGATACGCCAACTGTAATACTTTGAGCTAACACAGGATGATGCCGAATCTGTACATGATGCGGGTGCATCAACCCACAGATTGGCTGGACCCCACTGCACTGGGCCTGCATCAACGGTCATATGAAGGTTGCGGAGATGCTGTTAAAGCACGGCGTTGATGCCAAAGCCAAAGACAACGTCGGTGTCTCCCTCTTCCTCCGACACTTTGATGTTTGATCATCTTGCCTGCGTGGCACACCGATTTTAGCTAACACATGGTGATGTTGTACCTGTACGTCATTTTGATGCATCAACCCACAGGACGGCGATACACCCCTGCACGGTGCCTGCAATAGGGGTCTTGTGAAAGTGGTGGAGATGCTGTTGAAGCACGGCGCTGATGCTGAAGCCAAGGCCAACGTCAGTACTTCCCTCTTCTTCCCTTGTGGCCACGCTTTGCTGTCGATTCGCTATGCCCTTTCTTCCTCTCTTTTTCAGCTGTAATGCTTTGTTGAGCTAACACGTGAAGGTCATGTACCTGTACGTGATGCGGATGCATTTACCTACAGGATGGCTATACGCCACTGCACTATGCTTGCAGTAGTGGTCATGTGGAGGTTGTGGAGATGCTATTGAACCACGGCGCCGATGCTGAAGCGAAGAACGACGTCAGTACCTCCCGCTTCGGTCCCTTACTGGCTGCTACTGCTTGTTCCCCTCTGCCCATCTCTTCCCTGCACCTTGCCTCTCGTGCGTGCGTTTCAAGCACACGCTCACATATTTCAATCGTTTTGGACTGTCGTCGCGTTTCCAGAATGGCAACACGGCTCTTGATTTGGCACGTCGATACGGACATGGTGACGCATTGACGCCTGTTTTTGCCGCCCCCCAGGCACGCCTTGCACAATCATCTGAACCTCTCGCACCGCCTACACGTGTACTTCCTTCCGCCTGATTGCCGTTCCTACCCAGCCCTACTCCCACCTTCGAGGTGAGTTCCCTCTCCTTCCTTGTGTTCGCAACGCGCTTTCCCACCCGAAACTCCTCTCCACATCCAATCCACTCACAACGAATAACATCACATACCCTCCATTAGATCACGGCCTCTGTTGTGGCGGTGGTGGACACTTGGTTCAAGCCGCTCCTGCTCAAGCAAACCACCACCTTTCCCTCCGCACCTCGACACCATTATCAACGGTGCCCTCAAACGTGGCCCCAACCTCGCAGTGGTCGTTGCCAACAGCCCGAAGACCGTCCATGAAGCCCCAGGCCTTTCTGCTTCGGGCTGGATTTTTCAATTACAAGTATCAACGCGGGTCTGGACCCTACTAGAAAACGCTGAAAGCTACCGTCCTGGTGATTGGGATCGATGATTACAGGATGATGTCTGATTGTTCACGTTTGGGCTTGTTAAGAAAGCCCGGTAAACATTGTGTGAGTGTTAACTTAGTGCGGCCCAGCCGACCGAAAGTAGCTTTTGTCTTTTGCCATCATCGCTTGATTTCTGTTTTGTTCTGCCTTTTTTTGACCAGGACGACAATAGTACGGCATAGCATAGCATATCACAGCACCGAGCACACAGCAAACAGCAAACAGCACACAGCACACAGAACGGCCTGCCTGATACAGGAAGAGTCGAAGAATATTTCAAAAGTGTCCAGGCAACACCTATGACGCTTGCTCCAGCTGCATCAGAACAAGCTTCAGCGTAGGGCGGGTCGTGGGGTCCAAGGTCCAACACGCGTGCATCAGTGTCACCACCGTCTTGGGGACGTCAGGACAGCGTGTGAGCACACTGTCAGTGTCCAGTCGCTTGCCAGCTTCCAGCAGCTGGGAGAGGACCGTCATCAAGGGCCCCCGCCGTTTGCCTTCTTGCAGACACAGGTCTGGTGCTTGTCCAGTCAGTGTCTCCCACATCACCACGCCAAAAGCAAACACGTCTGCCGGGTAGCCGCCGTTACGGCCCGTCGTCAGCACCTCTGGGGCCATGTACAGCGGCGTGCCAACAGCAAAGCTCTGCTCCCGCCTGTCTCCGATTTCAATCATCGCTGCCTCTCCGTCCAGCACGACAGGACCCCTCTGGAGTTGCGTGCGCGATAGCAACGCACGCTGACGCAGCTTGACCGATCCAAAATCTGTCACTTTGGCACGAAATTGTTTGGTTATCAACACATTGCCCGCCTTCACATCTCGGTGAGCGTGGCCAAGCTCGTGCAAGTAGGCCAACCCTGTCGCCACGTCACGCAGAATCAGCAATCGCTGCGACAGATTCAGATCACGTGGCTGACAGCCCCGCAAGACCGAACGAAGCGAGCCCAAGGACACAAGCTCCAGCACCAGAAAAGGGACGCCCGCCTGTCCATCAAAAGCGCCTTCACCAGCTCCAAAAAATCGCACTAGTTGCGGGTGCCGCGTTCTTTGCAAGAGCTCGAGCTCCTTCTGAAAATCTTCCACTGCTGCCGTGTCCAGGGTGGCCGATGCTTTAAGCACCTTGACGCACACGGAAAAGCCCTGCCATTGGGCCCGCCACACCTCGCCAAAGGCACCCGGCGAATCGCCGTCAATTCGCTCCTCCAATGCGATCTCAGACCGTAGGATGCGCCACGCTTCCTTCAGTTCGGCCACATCCTCAAGGTAAGCTTGTGACAACAGCTCGCGCTCATATTCGTGTGACTCTTTTGTAAGCCGCAATCGCCGCCGGTAGCGCTGTATGAACGCCACCACGCCGCCCAATAAGCCAAAGCCAAGCATCACCATGAGGGCGACGAACCACGGTCGCCGGTACACTGGGGGAGGCTTTGGCGTGCAACGGTGCGACGTAGGCTCGCCCGTCATTTCATAGCCCGGCGAACATTCGCACTGAAAGCTTTGCTCCCCAAACGTTTGCGCTTCTGTTCCGTCCCATTGAACCACAAGGTCCGTGGTGGGCTGCAGGCCGCACTGCAAGGGCACACCGCGCAATTGCAGAGTGGGGAGATCCTCGTAGCCGCATACCGGTGTTGAGCCGTCGGCCAAGAAATAGTAGATGCACCCCTTTGCGTCAGAATTGCCAATGAAAACTCGTGAGGCGAAGACGCCGGCAATGGCTTCAACGTCAAGAATATGGTTTTCCGAAAAGTCAATGATCTTGGTACCAACATTGAGGCAATGTTGAAGCGCCTGTGGCCAATCAAACGGCTGGACCATGGCCAAGGCCGCAAGATAGTGCGTCCCAGCCCGTTGGCATAGATGGGGCGACCACGAAACGTTGGTTTGAGAAACATCGAGTTGGTTCGCCTGAGGCCATGTCACCACCGACAGCTGCGGATTGGAGGACACGTTGAACAACCTCAAGGCAGGCAAACCCGCACCCAGGGAGATGGATCTGAGGTTAGGCATGCGATTGATCTGGAGCGTTGAGAGTTGTGACCCGGGTGGCAAGTCGAGCCGTAACGACGTTGTGCGCTTGAAGCACGAGATTGTCAGTCCAACTAGATCTGGGTAGGTGACTTCAAAAGCAAGCGTCGGGGTATCCAGGGACAAATCAAGTCCAAGTTCCGTCAGATGGTGCTGAGCCAAATTATCAAGGCCTGATACGGTGGCGCCCGTGAGATCGAGTTGTTGGAGCCGTGCAGCAGACGCAAAGTTCAGATGCACAGCGTAATTTGTTGGGCAATCATCGCGGCCAATGCGAAGACCTTTCAGGTCAGGCATATGCAAAAGATCAAGGTCCAGCTGGGTGAGCCGAGAGTTGGCAATGTCCAGGGATACGAGGTTGGTCAAGGCCGTAAGCCAGTCTTTTGGCAGCGTTCCAATGGGGTTGGCGGTCATCCTCAATTCTTGCAAGTTGGGCGTTCCAGCAAATACATGGCTGGGCAGGAGAGTGAGGCTATTTCCATTCAAGTTCAGCCGCTGCAGTTGGCGCATGTGGTCAAACATCCCAGGTGCGAGGCCCGCAAGCGCATTGTTGGCTAGCACGAGAGATTGCAATTGACTAAGCGAGTTGAAGATGCCCTTGGGAAGGGCCGAGAGGCAGTTTTCTGCCAAATCTAGTTGCTGCAGTTGGCTGAGGCTATCCCAGCCATTGGCCTCAATCCTAGTGAGGCGATTGTAAGTTAAAGAAAGCCGTTGCAGGAGATTCGACTTGCCAAAGGTCCGATCCGGAAGGACGGTCAGGCGATTGTTGTCTAGCTTGATGGATTGCAGCTCACCCGTGTTTGCAAATAGGCCAGCAGGAATTGATGTGAGGTGGTTGTTGTTCAACGTCACAGTCTGGAGATGCAACGTGGTGCTGAAAACGCCATCCGGGAGAGTGGTTAATACGTTCTCTTCCAAGTTCAGCTTCCGAAGTTGGGTCGCATCCTGAAAAACGCTGGTGGGGAGAGCTGCGAGGCCATTTTTGTTCAAATGAAGCGTCTGCAGCTGACTTGCGCGCTCAAAAATGCCAGCTGGAAGCGCCGTCAGCGCATTCTCAGCAAGCTCGACCACTTGTAGCTGGCTGGCAGCGGCGAAAAGCCCCGTCGGGAGCGAAGTGAGGCTGTTTTGGTTTAGCTTGATGCTTTGCAGTTGTCCTGTGCAGTCCAACAGGCCGACTGGGAGGCTCGTCAGCCTGTTCGCGTTAAAATTGAGTGTCCGTAACTGGCAGGCGTGGTCGAAGAAGCCCTCTGGGAGGGCCGCTAGGCTGTTCTCAGATAGGTCGAGGGTCTGCAGCTGGTAGACGTGGTCAAAGAGGCCACTCGGAAGAGAAGTCAGATCGTTGTTTTTCATGGCAAGACTTTGCAGCTGATGCAAATCATCAAAGGCGCCTGCAGCAAACGAGGAGGTGGTGGATTCCATGTTGAGTGTCTCAAGTCGGAATAAGCCACGAAAGCCTGCCGAGTCGAGCGAAACACGCAGGAAGCTGAGATCCAGGAATAGCAGCTCGGCCAGCCCATTCAAAGCCGTGCTGGATAGATTATTATCGCAAGCTGCGCTCAAGTCAAGGTGTCTCAGACTCTGCAGGCGCTCAAAAACACCGGGCGGCAATCCATTCAGGTTGTTTTGGCTTAGCTTCAGTTCTTGAAGTTGTTGCAGACTGTCAAACATCCCTGGCGGAAGCTGGGTCATCCAGTTGGATTGTAGATTAAGCACTTGAAGCTGGTGTAAGTTATTTAATGCGCCCTCCACGAGCGGGTAGGCGGTGGTTGGCTGAAAGGAATCAAGGTTTACATCTCCGTTGTTCTGAAGATCCAGGCAAAGCAAGCCTTGAGGAAGAGCATTGCCAATGTCGGGTGTAAAGCTGTTGTTGCCATGTTCGTATTGGTTTCGCAGGCCAAATGTCGTCAGATTCAACGGTTGAGCTAGCAGTAACGGCAAAGACTGCACGTCTGGCTGGGTGAGCCCAACGGAAATGTATAGAGTCTTGATGCGCTGCATTACAGCCTCGCAAGGCGTCGATGTGGAGCACGACGCAACGAAGGCGTGGATGCCCGTGCTGATTAGCATGCTGGTGCTGCTCGTGTTCATCAAGTCCACCTTTCCATTACAGCTGTTGGTCCAAGGACCTGCCACGACCAGAACCTGGTCATCCGTAAAGTAGGCAGTATCCATGAAGACTTCTGCTGTTGGCACGAGGGACCAGCTGCAGTTGGCCTGATTGTCGCCTTCACTCCGCCGCGAGCGGGGGAAGTGTTGGCTCCATGGTGCTGAAGCGCTTGAAACCTGAGGTGGACGCATATTTATTGGCAGCAAGCGTCAGGGATGTGTGGGTCCATTGGCGTACGCGGCATAACGCTCACCTGAATGGGATCACGCTTGTGTATGGCCGGCAACAGCAGTTGATGAGACGAGACGGGCAACGGTGCTACCTGTTGATTGCAAGGTAGGCGGGTGGGTGAGTGCCCACAAGTGCCACCGCACCTCAACATGGGCGCCTTGCTTTTACCTCGCGGTGTTGTCGGCGCGCCCTGACTGTGTGAGGCGGGCGCGGGGCAGCCACGAGCGAGCTGCAGAGGGCCTGAAGGGCCGCGCTAAATGTCAGGCCGAGACTCCCCGTGGGCTCTGTTGTGGAAGCCTGGCATAGCCGCTCCACCCGCTGCTGCTGCTGCTGCTGCTGCTCATGCTGTACTCGCTCAGACTCACACTCACAATGACAGGTCGACGTCACGGCGGCAACGGCGCGGGCGAATGCCAGCAGCAGCAAAATTGCAACGCCGCTACGGAGCAAGCCTAGCGTGGCACTTGATGGACGTTCAAGCCTCCCCATCATCTGCGCGATTCAATCACTACAACCCCTCGTCCTTTCAGTCGCCCCCGAGGCGTAGACCACCTCGCAACGCAACCTTAACATGTATGTGTAAAACGGATCCACACGCATTCGGTCTCAAAAGTCAGTTTGCAAGCAAAGTGCATCCGGATGTACTCATCATGATTGTCGGATCAAAAGTGTCCGAGCGACACGTACCGAAGAACAGCTATGCAGAACAGCTGTTTGAATTATCACACAGTCACACTCTTGAGTCATGGCATCCGAGAATGACATGATATACAGGTACTCGACTCAGACAACCCGACCTTAACTCCTCCAACACCGAACAAGCTCCGGGTTGTTAAAGCCCGAGTATCATGTCATCTCGGGATGCCATGAGAGTGTGATTTCGTGTGTAGAATAAAACTGCTGTTTTGCACAGTTGTTCTTCGGTAGGTGTCGCTCGGACAGATAATCTGTCTCTGTCTCTATGATTATTTTACTAAGCAGTTTCTAAAAATCAAAATGGCATCGTACGTCTTCTCCCTCTCTCCCTCTCTCTCTCTCTCTCTTCCTCTCCGCGCTTCTCTCTCTCCCTCTCTCTCTCCTCTCGTTGTCATGTCCCTTTGTGTGACGCGCGCGCTCTCGCTCCTCTCTCTCCTCTCCCTCCTCTCTCTCTCTCTTCCTCTCGCTCTCTCTCCTCTCTCTCTCTCTCTCCTCTCTCGCTCTGTCTCTGCGTGTGTCTCTGACTGCTGCTGCTGCTGCGTGTGCTGCTGCTGCGTGTGCCGGTAGTGTCTCGGCCGTGTGGTTCACATGGGTCGTCGCTGATGATGATGGTTGCCTGCTGTGCCGGCTCACCGCGTAGCTCGGATGATTCAGACTACTCGTTCCCTTCGCGCAAGCCCGCGGAGATGGCCCTTTATGCCACCATCGAGGACGTCAACCAGGAAGCTGCCGCCCTCTCCAGTCTCAACGATGTGGTCGATAACTCGCTCGCTCCCAAGATGGGCTGTACGTCGGTACTCTTCCAATGGCTGCCGGGTCCCGCCCGCCCCTGCCACCTCTCCCATCCGAACACCCTCACGATGCAATGCACTTCCTCCCCTTGCCCCCCCCCCCCCCACTGCCAGCTCTGCAAATGGCCCAGGAACAAGAGTTTGAACGCCTTCGTCTGGAAGCCCTCGTATGTTTTTCTTCTTCACGAGCTCATGTTTTGAACCCCGCTCCCTCCTCCTCTCTCTCTCTCTCTTTCCCCCCCTCCCGTCGTCTGTCTTTCCCATTCCCCCCCCTCCCCACTTGTGTGCCGACGCCTCGATACGCCAACATTGACCCAGCTCTGCTTTCCTGATAGGCGGCGCGCAATGCCAACGAACCTGCCAAGTTTGTCAAGGTCGATGAACCCTCGCGCTCCTCCACAAGCCCCACCGAGGATCAGCGACAGCAGCTGCTTCGCCAAGCCCAGCAGGTGTGTCCCCGCCCACTTTCAGCCCTCGCCCAGCCTGCTGCTGATCCTCCCAGCCCGCCAATCTGACTGGGTCTGTCTGTGTGTGCGCAGCAGGCCGAGACAAAGCCCGCCCCGCCCACCGCGTCGAGCAGCAGTGGGCCCACAGAAGAGGATCGCCGACGCCTCCTGGAACAAGCCATGAGCCAGGCCAAGGCTGCCCCCGCTGGCGGTAGTGGCAAGGGTCCCAGCCTTGAAGAGCGCCAGCGTCTCGCCATGGCCGCCATGAACCAAGAACGTCGCTCCACCCTTGATCGCCGCGGTACCGGCACCGGCTCCGGCAAGGGCCCTAGCCTCGAGGATCGCCAGCGTCTCGCCATGGCTGCCATGCAGCAGGCCCAGACCAGCACCATGTCTCGCAGTGGGAATGGCCCCAGCCTGGAAGAGCGCCAGCGCCTCGCCATGGCTGCCATGCAGCGCGAAACAAGCCAGTAACGCCTATCCGAGCACCGGCATCCCCTTGCCTAATCGACTTGCCCGCAAGCCCTGCTTCACGGTGGTGGATTGGCCTTTCGAAATCTCTTACGACGGTTTTGCAATGCCACTTCATGCCCCTGCTCACCCCGTATATTCTTTTCCGTATATTTTTGTTTCTTGTTCCTCTTCTCGCTAACCCGTTTGAACGCCATGAATTGACCCCTTCTGATGAACCCGTCCAGCATTGATTGCGATCGATTCGATTGTGTGTGGTTGCCACCACCAACTCTTCCGGGCTTCATCAGACGCTTTCACTCCATCCCTGGCAACCATAGAAAAGCACTTGACTCTCAACAAGACGTAAAACGTGACTTTCGGCAGCGCTCGCAACCAAAGGCTAGCGTTGTTCGCTGAAGCAGAGGGACTCAACAAACCCTTGTCCCTCCGCGGGTGCAAGCACTGTCCGTACAGCCGAGTCGAATAGCTGACATGAACACGACGAAGAAGAAAAAAAAAAAGAATCCCAAATCCACCAAATTGAACAAGACTTTAGTGACCAAGAAGACAGCCTCCTCATTTAAAGGGATTGCACTTGCAAATGGCCGCCTTGAGACCAAAGCCGGTGAGGCTGCCTGACAGCAGGCCCAGGTTGAGAAGGAGAACGGAGAACTGGCCCACCGACTCGGCGTCACCGGGAGGCACCAGAGAAGGGGCAATCATCATGCACATGGTGCCAAGGTAGCCGTTGGAGATGCCCACGGCCAACATGAAAAGGGCGGGGAAGGCATCATTCTTGAACAGGACGTAATCGGCATTGGCCACGTTGCACAGAGCAAACAGGGGCACAAACAAGACGCGGGCCAGGACAGGGATGGGCAGCTTGCGGTAGTTGGCCGTTTCGGGCCAGGGTTTCCACCATGTCAACAGACGGCCAATCAAGTCGCCAAAGTTGAAGAGGAAAAAGACGCACACAGGCACAAACCACGATCGCCATTCCTCGTAAGGCGACGTCTGCGGCGAGAGCAAGGGCAGTCAAACGTCAGCACGATGGTGGGGGCCGATGGGTCCACGCACTGTGAAACAAGAGCATGTCGCATTGCGGGGCGTACCGAGCTGACGCTGGCCGAAATGGCCGGGAAGATGGATAGCGTGATCCAAAAAACGCAAAACACCATGACGCAGGGCAACCAAGCCTGTCAAGCATAAAATTGGGGCAGCGGCACCGTGCCAGTCAATGTGCATCCCCTGATGGTGCCAGAGCAACACGGAAGATTGAGACGAGAGTGTACCTTTCGAAAGGGGCTGAGGATGGCACCGTCCTCCGAGTGCAGGTAGGAGCGATAGCGCTTGAGAGACTTGCGATCGCGCTTGGTTTGGTTCTGTAGGTTTTTGACGAATGCGTGCGAAAAGGCAAGGCAATGATGTGGCGCAACCAGACAAGGCGACCGGCACAGCACCAGGGCAGGTCACAATCAAGCTAAAAATGTTGATGTCAACCAAGGCCCCGAGCTATGGGGCCGCTAAGGCAAGCAAACAAACTGACGGCGGGGGCCTGGCCTACCACGGAGGACGACATGTCGGGGTTCTTGCGAGGCGATGCTTGGGTGCTCTATCAAATGACAAGATGACATGATTTACAAATTGTGAGGAGAGAGAAAAAGTCGGGCCACGATGAGGAAAAAAAAGGGGGTCAGGCACCGATAGAAAACCAGGGTACCGCCAGGGGGTCATCAGGTAGGCGGACTCACTGCAATGCGGGCGGCATCTGCCTTTTCGAGATTGCTGATGACGAGAGGATGGCGCATCAGCAGAACGTAGCCCACGAAGCAGCACAGAAGAACCACAACGGAGAGGATGAAGAAGAGAAAGGCGGCTTCACGGGGCTGGCTTGTGCCGCTCACGCCCAGGGACACGAGGTTGAGGCCAGCCACGATGACACCACCCAGGGCCTGGTTGAAAATGAAAAGAAAAAAAAAAGGGGAGAAAAAAAAGGGTGAATGGCATGAGTTGAGTGGTCAACCAAAAATCGGAAAAAGGGATCAAAAGCAACAGAGTCGAGTCCACACCTGGCCGTTCATGAGGGCGTGGACATAGGCCTCGGGCATGACGCCGGCGAGGCCAAAGAGGCCGCTCTGCAAAAAGGCACCGGCCGCTGTCGAGACCGAGTGAGGTGAACACGAGGGAGCGGAATGGCATGGAGCACAAACAAAGGCGGTTTGGAGCAAGGCAAGGCGAGGAAGAGAAGGCGAGGAAGAGAAGGAGGACGAACCACCAGCAGCGACGGTTTGCCCAATGGTAATGGACATGAAGGCGTTTGTAGAAAGGCCGGGGATCTTGCTAATGACGGTGACGGAGGAAAAGACAATCACCTCAATGACCAGCGGGGCCAAGATACGGGTGTGGACGTTGATGCGCTGTTTGTAGCGCATGGCCAGGAGGATGAAGATGATGCTGGCCCCCTGAAACGAAAAGCTGAAATAGTTTTCGTAAGAAGACTGCAAAAAGTGTGCGGCACACAACAGTGTCAGATTGGCTGGTGGTCCAGGGGCCGTGCGAGGCGTAGGGATGGGCGAGGCAACACACGGCATAGTTGGTGCCGGCGAGGACATCGTCAAAGTACGAGGTGACGGTGATAAAGGCGTTCCAAGGGAACAGGCTGCCAATGCCTTCGAGGAAGAACAAAAAGTACAAAAAGCCAACCCTGGAGACAGGTGCGGAGCGCGAGGGCAGCGAGAGGAGCGGGAGTGGGAGCGAGAGCGGGAGCGGGAGCAAGGCAGGAAGTGAGGTGAGATCAATGAGACGAAAAGGCGTTTGGAAAGCGAAGGATGGCCAAGGACGGGAGCCAGGCAGGGGATGGCCAAGGGGGCATGAAGGAACTTCTTACACGGAGCGATCGGAGGAACGATGAACGACCACATTGTCTTCAGGAATGGCCAGCAAAGGTTCGGCAACCCCTGCTTCTTCCGGGTGACCCATCTTGACGAGCAATCCGGGGCTCGTGCCAAGTCAAATGCCTGCACCGCCACCACGACACCACCCAATCATCGTGTCCACCCCCGAACCAGCAAGCGCATGCACCCCAAGAAAACCATCATCCCATCAGCCATGAGCTGGGCGTTCACTTGAAAAAGAAAAAAAACAATTAAAGAACACCAACAGCCAAAGGCAGCGCGCAATAGACATCTCTCTCTCTCTCCAACAGCACACACACCACACTGTCAACACCGGGAAGCCGCAACGAGCAGCACACACACACCCACACATACATACATACACACACACACAGAAGGAGGCGGAGGGGAGGGGATACGAGGGACGCAGAGAGGGAGAGAGGCGCTCCGGCGATGGTGTGCGCACGTCTCCACACACACACACACACACACACATACATACCTTTGGGATGAATGCAGGTGTGGGAACTTGATGGCGGACGATGTCTGCTCTGACGTCTTGGGGGTGTTTGGAAAGAGGCAGCGCCCGTTGAGGTGTCGGTACCGTGCGGCGTCCCAAGGTCGCCCCCCCGGGGCACCCGAGTCCCCGACGACGAGAGGCGCGAGTCGCTCTGCACGCGTGCGCGCTCGCTCTCTCTCTCTCTCGCTCTCTCTCTCGGCGCGCGCGTTGAGGAGAAAAAAAAAAAAAGATGAAGAGAGAGGGGTGAAGCGGGTCCGTGGATTCAGAGAGAGGGGTGAGAACGGAACAGAATCATATGGTGATTTAGAGAGAAACGTAGAGAGTTGGGGTCCAGTTGGTACTTTGAGTAGAGAGGATGAAAAGGATGATGAGGGGTCAAGAATTCAGGCACGGACCAGTCAGAGGGACGCTCAACCCGGCGACAACTGTCTCACTGTGAACAAAGCCAAACGCAGAGACACAGTGACTGGCTGTTCAAGCGTCCAACCAGTGACATTGTTAGTGTGAATAAGTTCACACTTTCTACTGTTTGAAGTGTATAAATATCACACTTTGAGTACACATGCCTTTCTGGAGGTGGTGTACGTGTGCGCGACTCTCTCGCTGGTTTTGTCAGAATGTAAATATGTCATACAAAATGATATACCAGGCTTATGTATTTTACTTATGTGCTTCTTTTTTTTGTTTTTTCAACGGGTTTTCTCTGACAAGGTTTGCTGCAACACGATTTATCTCTGCGAATGGCTCTAAAACCTTTACTTGCGGTGCTCAGCCTCGTGCCCCCTCTCTGCGCATGCTCTCGCACTTTCTCTCCACCTCTGAGTGTGTGTGTGAGTTGAACGCTGGGCTGCGCCCTCTTGCGGGCCAGTAGCACCACTGCTGCTGCTGCTGCTGCTGCTGCTGCCTCTCGACCTCTACCTCCCGACCTCGACCTCAACCTCTACCTCGTCTTCTCAACCTCAACGTCCTGTCTTGACCTTCCGCGCTCCCAATATCTCGACCTTTTCTCGCGGGTTGCTTCTCGCTTTGCTCCGGTTCGTATGCTGGGTGGGAGCCAGCCCGACCCTGAACGAGTGTTCACTCCTCCCCTCTCGTGCCGCCTCACTCGTCAACTCTCACTGATGCGCGTTCGTTCTTCACCCCTTGCTCTCCCTCCGCAGGCCCGACATTGAACGAAAGCCGGCTCCCATCTCAAACTCTTGTGCTGGACCCCTCGCTTCGGCCTGCCTTTTCCCATCAACCCGACGCGTGTGTGTGCGACGGGCTCGCACCCAAGAGCCGCCATGGCACATCGCAACGGGCACTCCAGCCATTCATACGGTGATGGCAGCTTCAGAGATGGCAGCTTCAGAGAGTCCCGGGTCAGCCAGAGGAGTCCTGACCCCAAACGCGCCGTACGCCTCTTGCCCCGACATCCGTCCCGCATCACTCGGAAAAAATTAGCCCTTCAATGTTCTCACGCTGCAACGCATGACAGCGACACGAACCGCACCCCCTGAGCCAGGATGACCAAGACGGTCACCTCATTATCCATCGAAACGACTTCAATCACACAACCTTTGGCCCAAACCAGCGCTGTGCGTCCACCGTGCCCAACACACACCCGTCCCGCCTGCTGGTCGCTTCAAGGCTTCTTCGCTCACCCGCAGTGCATATCTGGTGCAGACCTGATCAAACAAGAACTGGGTGAAGGCACCTTTGGCAAGGTTCTGCTCTGCCACGACAAGTACGTTGACCCCAGACCCTGCTTCTGCTTTGCCCCCTTTTCTTGCCACTCCCAGCATGCCTGACCCTGCGCGATTTACCTACTTCCTGTCCCTTCCCTTGGCTCAGCAAGTACAAAAATGATGTCGCCGTCAAGGTCATCCGCAGCATCGAAAAATATCGCGAGGCCGCCAGCGTCGAATTTGATATTCTTAGCCACATCCACCGATACCTCGAAGACGACACCCCCATTGTTCAACTCCTTGCCTGCTTTGACCACCTCCGCCATCGTTGCCTCGTCTTTGACGTCCTCGGCATGTCCGTCTACAACGTTCACCTGGCCACGGGCTACAGGCCCTACTGTTATCATGACACCGTCGCCATCTCTGCCAAAGTCGCCGAAGCCCTCGCCTGTACGATGCGGTTCTTGTTGTTGTTGTTGTTGTTGTTGCAGAATTGCTTCTGGGTTTGGATGTTGCTGCGGCGTGGTGCACCACAATCCTCCCCCATTTTGGCCCTGTTCGTGGACATGCCGCACGCTCACCGTACCCGCTCCGTACTCCTTTGCTCAGTCCTCCACGGTGTTGCCATCACTCACACGGATCTCAAGACTGAAAATATCCTGCTGATTGATGACCATTTTGACCTGATTCGCGAGGTGCCGGCCCATTGCCTGTTCACTCCCCGCCCAGACCTTCTTCACATTTCGTTGTCCATGCCCTCCGCCCGCGCTTGACTCATGAGCCTGGGAAAACAAAACCAACTGGTGTCAAATCACAGAATGATCGCGAGGTCATCAAGCTCCATGACACTCGCATCAAGGTGGGCTTGAATGACACCCGAGGGCTTCAATGCCCGACTCTGTGAATGCCATTCCTCAAACGCTCGTGCCTGTACTGCCCACGGCTCCACCTCAGGTGATTGACTTTGGCTCAGCCACCTTTGATTGGGATCACCACACCAGCATCATTACCACTCGCCACTATCGCGCCCCTGAAGTCATTCTTCGTACGTATGGGCCAGAGAGGCCAAAAGGGCTCGAAATGTCCTCGACGTCTTGCTTCGCCTCGCCCCAGCTTTTGCTCAACCAGGTGCTTGCCTCTTGTTTCCGTAGAAGTGGGCTGGACACATGCCTGTGACATTTGGAGTCTGGGGTGCATCACGGTCGAGTTGCTGGATGGTGCCTGCCTCTTCCAGGTATTGCCTGCTCGTCGGCCCGGCGCTCACTTGCTTGAACATCCTGACCTTGGGGCTTATGCACTTGAAAACACACCATCTGTTGACACCTAGACGCATGACAATTTTGAACACTTGGCCATGATGGAGAAGCTCCTGGGCGAACGACTCCCCCCTCACATGCTCAAACCCAGCTGGTGAGTGGACATGAATCCATGCAAGCCGAGGTGTGGCCTCTTCCAGACCGCTCAATGTCTTTGATGTATGTGCTCGCTTCCTACGGCCGATCGCGGTGGGGGCCGGCTGCTCCGATAGTATTCCCGCGGGCGACGCACAAGGGCGTTTGCGGTGGCCCGAACTCGCCGCGGATGACCAAAGCATTGCATATGTGGCCGACAAGTACGAGCCGCTGGAGCGTTGGATTCCAGACGCCCGAGCCGCTCTGCGCGACGTGGTGCGCCGAGCCATGACCCTTGACCCCATCCGCCGCCCTTCAGCCGCCCGGCTGCAGGCGGACTTTTTGGCCCTCCTTGATGCTACCACGCCCGTCCCAACGAGCGACACCGCATGACACCCAGTCGCATCCCCTGTCATTCCCCGTCCATAGCTGGTGACGGCCGATGATGTCAAATCGGGGGTCCCGAATGCGCATGTGTGTGTGTGTGTGTTTGTGTGTGTGTGTGTGGTGTGTGTGTGTGTGTGTGTGTGTGTGTGTGTGTGTGTGTGTGTGTGTGTGTGTGTGTGTGTGTGTGTGTGTGTGTGTGTGTGTGTGTGTGTGTGTGTGTGTGTGTGTGTGTGTGTGTGTGTGTGTGTGTGTGTGTGTGTGTGTTGTTGCGTTTGTTGCAACCTATTATGTTGATTTTGAAACGGGTGGCCGATGTGCGGACGAGGCTGTGCCTCCGCCAGCGGTGAGAGTCAAAAGAACCCAATTGCAGCGCTAGACGACCGGATTTGACCGTTTTAAGCTCAGAAGGAGCCGTCTTGAACTCCCCCGATTAAACGCAAATACCACGTTGAGAGTCATACTATGAGAGTTTTCGTATGCAACGCCAGGCTGTAGCATCAGCTTCCTGCCATGTGCGCAAGTACACGCATGCCGTGTGATTTGCACCAAAAAGCCTGCCACAAGTCAACGCCGCAACGGGCCACACCCGATGGCCGATCGGCCCCCATGTGCGATACATGTGATGCGGACGTCCGTCCGTCAGTCGTTCCCCCACATGTAGAGACCACTTACTCCTCAACAAGTACTAGAATATATTCTTCATAAACTATCAGGTTCTAAACACTGTTACATTAACATCTTCTTCGATAACTGTGATTATTGGTTCATAAACCTCCAACATCGGATTTCAAGGCCAAACATGCATCAAGTGTGTCCACTTCAACAATAGCTCATATTGGTACCACGTTACTTCTATATAGAGATTCGATGAAAACTGCATAAAGTCGCTTTTCTTCTACAATAACTCCATTTACTGCGCAAGGTTGCACGCGCACGCGTAAATCCTCCAAAGCGAAAGAGAGAGAGAGAGAGAGAGAGAGAGAGAGAGAGAGCGACGCGCTCGATCGAGCATCTGATTTGATTTGGCAGCGCCCGCTGGGTCGTTCCGACTTGCGGCTGCTGGAGCTGTTGCTCCCAGAGTTGACGCTCGACTTTGACTTGACGGATAGCACCACCACCCGCGGTACGATCCGGCACGTGTTGTTGTTGTTTGGAGGGGTTGATGCCACTTCAAGGAGCTGCTGGGAGAGACGGGCA